TAGAAAAGCTAAGAATACAGGAATACCAAACACAGGAAGCACTTGTGAACAACAGCAGCTATAAGCAGAAGTCTCACCTTACATATTTTGGGAGAGGATTACAATACACAGCAATCTCCAAATGTATCTAAAAACCCACAAGCAAGAAGTTCTGCAAATGACAACTGGTACTTTCAGAACTGTCAGACTAGATTCAGTACCAGGTGCAAGCACATCTGAAATTGGCTGGAACTGCAACGAACTACTCTTCATCCCACTTTCAGGGTTGGAAAACACCAAGCCCTAAAAATAATTTCAAGGTCATTTTGCAACAGATGGGAGAATTACTAGAACTCAGAGCTAGATCAGACACTGCAGAAAAATATTTGATAGTGCATATTGCAGCTGGCAGATGCAGAAGGCAATGTCACAGGAGTCTGTGCCAACATTATCCCAAACTTTTAATTAAAATGAGGGCTTTAGACAATCTCATGTCTCTGTATCACTACTAATTGTCAGACACTGACACTATTCTGAGAATATAATTAACCATCAATGAATAAAATACATGATAGCTTTTGCTTTCTGACTATAATTTGTTATACAAAACCTCATACATTTTGGTTTTCATTTTGCTAGGTATTACATATGACAAAGAAGATATGCTTAAAATAATGTGAAGTTCTGCCTGTGAGTTTGTTTTTCAATTTACAGCTGTACAGCATGAATATGCAGAAAATAATTTCTCAGACCATCTTGCTTCATTTATGCAAAAGAAGTCCGCATACTGCACAGGCTGTATGTCAAAATTTCTCCTCTATTATCTTCTGCACTCTTTCTTCAAAGAGGTTAAGAGTACTTTAAAAAGACAACAAACACCCCTGACAAACAAGTAGACTAAAAAATAAGACAGGATGAAAGAAAATGACTAACAGAATAACTTTGGAATCATTACACGTGCTTGTGGTTTTAAGTAGTCAAACAATCAATGAATATGAGCAAATGAATTTCTAAGTCTTAATCACCAAGAGGTAAACGTCAAAAAAGACCTTGCTGGTATTAAAGTCTTACTGATTCCCCTAGTTAAAACAGTTAGTTTTCTAACTACAAACATTCTTTCATATAATCTGTATATCTGTGCATGTCAGGAGAGAAAACAGTTAAAGACTACATCAGTCCCTTAAAATTCAATACGTAAATGCTTATCATGAAAGTTATTCAAATGAGTGTTTTCAAAGCTAAGGTCACTAAAAGCTTTTAGATCACTTCAGTCTATGTGCGTATTTTAATTTGTCAATAGACTCAAGGAAGCAGGAAGGTGCACTTTGACATTGAATAGTATACATTAAGGTCAAGGTTAAAAACCCAACTCAGCAATAAGGACATTCTTAAAACAAACGATATAATTTCAGTTTCATTTAATGTGAAAAGATGGTATCAGTGGATGCCAAAAGTAGAGAATCAGAAAAAAAGCAGTATTGGGGACAGGGGGAAAGGAATACTTTGACATCTATTTATTTTTTAACTAATGGGAAGGAACTACAGGAAAAGTAAATCTATAAAATCTGAAATATATTAAACAATTATATTTCTCAAAAAACTGCACACTACTTTGCCAATGACACAACATACTCTGCAATTTCCATTTAGCCTGCTTATTACTCAGTTCTGTTGGTGCACGAAGTATCAAAGTATAAATCCCACCGTTTTCATAGAAATCCTAACTTTTGGTGTGGTTCAAAAATATTAAAGTTACTAGAACACAAATTGATATCTAGTTCCATTTTACAGTAAAATTCAGTCTAGTCAGATGCCTTAGAAAAGACTGACAAGACATTTTGAATGATGAGTATTATTAAAAATGGTTCTTTTTCTCCCTGCCACCTTCCCCCCACCCCGCTCCAAATCTAAGTTTCACATCCAACTACAACAACCAAGTAAGGTATCAACAAATTACTTTGTACATAAACGGCCACTAGGATCTGACAGGAGTTGAAATGTGTGTGCAGCACTTAATTTACAACTTGCAAAGAGATGATAAGACATAAGCAAAACTAAAAATTTATAGAAGCAGTGACAAAACAGACAACTTTTAGAAAACATACCTCAAAAAAGACTATTAGGAGAATACCACAGTGGAGACGTAAAGAGAAAGAAAACTGTGGTAAAAAGAATCTATTTTTACAGTGACAAAGTGGTTAACAGCTTGTTATTAGAAAGTTTGATTACATGGAAAGTTATGTACCTTTCATATATTTGTTAACAATCCAGAACAGAGAAAGCAGTGAAATGGAAAAATTAGATTATAACAATTATTTAAATCAGTCGTATTACAAAGGACATTTTTTGTGCATTTTTCTATGGAGTTTTCAAGGTGTGTCTGATGATTTTGAAACCTGTCCCTCTACAGAATTACTAAACAAACCTGAATCATCACCTGTTAATCAACAAAATTTTACAGTGAAATGCCTAGCAGTGCTTACAAAGCTTCCTCTTCATGCAGGGTTCTTTGCTCCAGGAATTTCATATCTCCCTTCTCATTTTGCAATGTCACTTTGAGTATTTCTTTTATTAGGTGATGTTTCTAGAACGCATCATGTCACATCTAATCTTCTATTTTTGTAACACGTTGCGCACTATTTAAGCTTGACTTGAGCAGCAGAATTATTGCCTGTGACTTCATTTTGTCATAGTCCCCTGGGCATGTTTTGCTGACAATGTTTACTTACACACCTTAAGGGAGGTGCATCTGTCATTAAAAAAATATTTCTTTGAAGTTTGTCGTGGAGGAGGAACTAAAATTTTTGAAACAAGAAACTAAGTCTCATACATTATTTAAGGAGAATAAGATAATTGTTAAACAGCAGGAAAAGAACATTTATGAATTTATTGGGGTGGCATCGTATGTTTTTTGAAAAGAAATTTGAGGGGAAGACTTCTACTTGGATTTTAGAAACTGCAACTAAGACTAAAGCAACTCCTAAGGATGACTGATTACCCAAGAACTGGGACATAAATTGCTATTGCTATTAAAAATAAAACATCACTTTTTTATTATAAAATAGCAGCTAAAGGTATTTACTGTAACTTTTGTTCTTTCTTTCTTAAGAGTTCTATCTTACTGAATTTAGTCAGGTTTTCTAGATTTTTTTTCCCCCAATTACTTTTAGGTGGTGTCCTTTTACTAGCATTTTACCTCTATGTGGTGCTTGTGGCATCTTCTGGGGTGTTGGCTGAAGGTGGTCTGTAAATTGGATTGCTGAAGGACATAAAAGAAAGTTAATGTGACCCATGCTACTGGGTTTCTTTCTGACCCAGAAGTGCCATTGCCATGCCGCAGCTTATGCTGCAAAAGTGCATTTGCTGCTTTGCTTGTCACATGCCTTATCTTCCACATGCTCCTAGCAAATTGCATCTTCCCATTTAGTCACATTTTTTTGTCTTGAATGACTTGCACTCACCATCTAAGAGTCTAAATGTGAAATATACATTCCAAATTATGGTTAATTGGCTTGCAAAAGTTAAGTTAGTGGTAGATAATTAAGATGCTCTCCAATCACCAAAGCAAGGTATCTGAATTGGACACACGAAGCAAGAATTCTGGAAGCATTAATTTGTTACCTAACCTTCAGCAATGAAACCTTAGAGCCTTAGTTTCTTTGTGTGCAAATGAGCATAGATACTTACCCACACTACGAGGGCATTGTCACATATAGATACTTAACCCCCCCTCCAAAACATTCCCAAGATCCTTTACACCAAGCACGATGAAAGCACAAGAATTCTTTCATGTAATGAAACTATTTTAAAACAAGCAAACGAGAGAAATGCCAATACCCTGGTTACAATGAAATAGGATGAGTATGAGTGAGAGAGAGAGAGATTAAAAGTGACAATAATTCTCAGGAGTTTAGATCTCATGAGAGATGTTAAGATGTGACACTGGAAATTGATGTCTCCATTCTGTCATGGAAGAGGAGTGGCTCACAGAAATCAGTGCAGATACTCCATTTTTGTAGCCTGTTAAGATTACAAGTGTAACTTATTTACAGGTGTTCATGTGTATAAATACACCTATGCACACATACACACTCCTTCACCCATATATATGTTTTAGATATGAAAACTTTGTAATATAAGCATTCTCAGAACTTTTTCAGTGAACTCTGCCTTAATTCATGGCCTTTTTGAATCTTATTCTGTTGTGCTTGTGAACATATATGCATATGTGAATACATACATAAAGAATGGGAAATATGTGTATATATGTATACATGTACATATATAAAGAATGGGAAAAATGACATTTAAATTGTTAATTATGGTAAGTAATTATGATTTCAAGAGTAATTAAGAAATGTAGAGTTTTTATTAGTCACCATCTCAGCTAACAGAAATTGTATGTGAGGATATGCCTCCCACTTCATCTGAAGTGATTTGTGGGAAAGTCTTTATCCATTACTCATACCACTTTAGGACTGGAAATTCTTGAAATTCTTTATGTGAACAGAGAACATCTGTTACACTTTGCAAAGTTTTTCTGTAAACTGAGGAGGAGAAAGCCAGTTGGCAAATGCATGATTTGCTCAAATTCGTGTTTGTGGAGTTAAGCAAATGATTTTAAGAAAGCTACGCAAGATTCAGTTTCTACAGAGCTTTAAATCAAAAAGCAAGCATGAAGATGGAGTTTCTCAGACATGAAGCTAAAGCAAATGATGACATTAAAAATGACAATTCAAAAGCACATTAGAAGGTTTTCATGCATGTTGGCAAAGAACGTTGTGTGCCAGACACTGCAAGGGTGCATGAAAATTTAAATGTAATATCAAAAGAGAGAAGTCAGGTAACATTATAGGTCATAATCAAATCATAAGATTGTCATCTCTACTGTATTCATACAAAGACTAACCGCGCCCCCCCCCCCCCCAATACTCATAGAATAGACATATTTGTCCAAAGAATTTAAAAAGTTATTTGGATGAAAGGAGAAAGAAAAAAAAATTTAAAAAAATCTTACTTACCATAAGTGAATTAGGTCGATAATTGTGAGGATATTCTTCAGAGAAGTACTCTGTACTGTGGTCCAGCCTTTGATGCCCTCCATATTCTGCAGCATCAGAATCCAGAAGGATTTGATACTTAAAAATAACTATTAAGGAACCATGCCAAATTACTGTTAAATGGGAAATAAATCAAAGCAAAAAACCTAGAACTGCTGGAACAGAATTCATGCTAATATACTCAATATAAAGCAAAAATAATAATTAAGAAAATATAAGAAAAGAGTGGAAAAATATACAGAACATATAGTAGCTGTATGACATTTTGTCTTGAAAAATCTCATCTTAGTATAGTGACTCCTAGTAAAGAAAGCACCTTCCAGTCTCTTCTGGAATCTTCCATGAATAGTTTATAGTATTACAGTAGATATGCATAGCACTTTATGTGATGAATTAGACTAAAAATGTACCACTAAACAAAAACTGGATTTGAATTACATTTAAGAAGTTACATAATTGTGACAATCAAAATCAATCGGTGCTTAGCGATATTTTACAGTCTGTCAGAATCTGCTCAAGTGTTAATGAGAAAAGCATATAACTTTACAGAAGAAAACCCCACAAGTCCTTTGAGAGTTTTTCAGAAAAGAGTTTGAATTATTATAGCACAGAGGAACAAAAGAAAGCTTATATGTAATAGAAGAACTTTTAAGAGACAAACATTCTGACTGCAGTTGTAAAAATGGGGAGTTATTTAACAAAGTGTAATGAGGTTGAATACCTGTACAGATATTTAAAAGGATTCAAACAGATTTAGCAAAAAGTAAAAGATAAAATAACATTGAAAGAAGAAAATCAGAAAATATAAGGAAATAAATGGGGAAATAAAGAGCTAACACATATTTAAAAGTAAATTTCTTCTTATTTGGGACAACAACAATTAAAAAGTTTTAATTTTATGATTTTTTCACTACCTATGAATTTCTTGTTTGGGCATAATTAAAAAATAATTTTCCCTCCTGAAGTTACAACAGAAAGCCTCAATCTCCACTCTCTACTGCCCAAAACATACAGAGAGGGAAATAACAGTGCTCTATAATCCCCAATCTGCTTCCTTAATTTTAAGCCATGGAAAAATCTTATTTTGCTAGAGCTTGTATTTAATAGGATTAGGAAAGAATGAAGCAACACTCTTTCAAGTCAGTGGTTCTTAAACTGCTCTTGGGCATCTGTGTTTGCTCAGCCTTTCAAAAATAGGCCTGCTCAAAAATCTAAGGATTTTGATATCAACAGAATTGTTTTTATTTAAGTCTTTTTACACTAGTCTCTATCAGATGAGTTTAGGAAATTTCCCAACTGCCAGTCTTCCTGATTTAAATCTCTAGCAATAAGAAAGATGGAAGCATGACATCACACCACACAAAAAGTAGCCTAAACTAAAAGTAACTGCAAATTTACTCGGAGATATTTCAGTTTAGAAGATTGCACAGGTTTTGCTGACAGAAGGCAAAGAAGAAGAAAAATAGACGCACATGAGGAAAAAATGCAAAGCTGCCAATTAGCTACCAAACCACTAATGTTAACTAATCCTTTCCCCACAAGTATTTGCAGCAAAATGAGAGAAAGGTCCAGAACTACCAAATTAGTTCTTGATTTCTAAAGGGCAGGTGCCCAAAGGGAGAAACAGCAGATCACCACATTCTCTGGCAAAATCTTCCTGTTTGTTACCTCTTCAAAAAAAAAAAAAAAAATTTAGGAAAATTATACTTTGCCAGCTTTAGTCCTCAATGCCTTATATGTGCCCTACATACACACCTCCCCCCGCTTTATTTTATGAACACATTCAAATTACCATTCATTTGTTGTAATGTACAACATACAAAAATACAAACTATAACTTCTAGTTACTCTCTCCAGTGTCCTTTCAAACCCAGCATCAGCAATGGCTGCTACTACTCCACTGTATATTTTATTAACATGGCAGGGGAATGTCTCTGTGAAGTACTTCACTCTTTGCTTCTGTGATCTACACTATACATTAAATTTAATAATTTATCAATATTGCTGAAAGCCCTGACATCTATAATGATTCCTTTAAAACTGTTTACAGCAAATGCAATTGTTATGGCTATGCTAATTTTAAAACTATTTATCCCATTTCCTTAATCCAGGCTATAAAAGTAAAAAAACCCCAGGCTATAAAAGCATGCTCTAGCAATACAAAGTTAACATCACTGCCTCTCCACACCTCGTGACATAGCATATTTGGTGTAAATACTGTTAATCAGATCCTGAAAAATGGTGTCAAAAAGAATTTTAAGATCTTCTCAAATTAGATATTTCTCAGGGAAAAATAACTAGTTTGGTAAACATGCCCATTTGCCCTCCAACTTAAACGTTACAGAAAAGCTGCTTTTCACATTTCAGAATTTCATGAGTATCTAGGTTTTTGAAGACTACTTTCACAAAAACATTAAACAACAGTCGTGCATTTTAATTAAGCACATAATAGAACTATTTTCTTTTGCAGTGAGGTCTCTTGTTTCAGCAACAGAGTGCTGGAAACACTACTTGTACTCCGACTGAAAAAAAGCCTGATTTCTGTTCAGTTTGATGCTCTGACTAAATTTCCTAACCACTACATTGGAGAAGAGTAGCAAAAGCAATGAACTCTTGTATAGATAGAGCTGGAAATGGAAAGGCTGTCATTATCTACCACATTAATTACTGAATTACTATGCTTTTATGATGTTTTGAAATATGTATTTTAACACATTTTTTAAATTTAATCTTATGCATGTTTAATGACACATAAAACACCACTAAGTAAATGCAAATCATAAAATAGAATAATTTGTATTTTGTTCCTCAACCCTCACTATTGATAAAAGAATCCAAGTGCTATTTGTCAGGGTGATGGTCCAGCACAATTAAAAGCTTTGCAGAAGGGCAGATAGGAATTTCTACTCACCAGTTGTAAAATGATGTAAGTCTTACTGACTCACATAAACATCTATCACAAAACAAATACGTTCAAATAATATTAAGTACATCAGGTCCTCTGTATTATATATGACAGCCCCATTACAGAGATTACCTACATGACAGGTTACTCATCAGGTTAGAAAGTCTGGACACAACTGAGCAAGACTGGACACATAGGAAGGGTTACCAGACATATACAGAGACTGTAAGTGCGCCTGATGATTTCATCTTCATCCTTTCATAATCTGTTTTAAAATCAGGATTAGGAATTGTTCAGTTTTGATTTTATTATACAATGAAATGTTTAATCACCCATACTTCTGGTTCTCTGGTGCTTTCCAGGCATGCAACTAGAGCATGGGTATGTACGTAAATATTTATTTTCTTTTAAACTCATATGTAAATCAGCTTTCATGTCTTGCTGCACTTCTCAATATACAAAGGAATACCTAATAAAGGTTTCATTTTTATCCCTTGCTACCATTTCTTGGCTAAAAGCAAAAGGTTCTGGCAATACAGATGGGACAAAGATAAAAGTACAGACCAGAAAAGATCAAAAATTGTGCCGAAACACTTAATTTCTGTCTGAAACTTTCAGAAAGTGAATTTAAGCTAGAACTGAAGAAGTGTATGGACAACAGAAGACATGAGAATGCTTTTGATCCTTTAAGCAGCCTTGGGATCAGCCAGCTGTCCTGAACCAGTTATAGTGGCAATGACAGTAACACTGGCATGATCCCATGCCTAATCCAGCTGGAAATTATAGTTATATGACAAGATTAAAATTACTCATTCTCATTACATCTGCATGGACCAAAAGATTTACTGACAAAAGTAATGGTTAAAGGTAACCCTGGACACTTTATTTAGGGTGTGCAGAGAAAGCTTTGGGGTTTTGTTTCTTTGTATAAACCAAACTACTTTCCCATAAAGCCTTTTTCAGTATTTCCTAAGGGAAATCCTTTACAGAAGTAGCTACAGTATATATGCTGTCATAGTTACACACAGCATACAAAAAGATATTACAGGAAGGCTTTCTTCTTTCAAATACAAGTTATAAAATAGTAGACGAAAAGAAAATATTTTTTTTTCCTCAATCATTAAGTGCTGTGTAATACCAAACTGCTGAAAGTTTCTATCATTATTGAAACAAGACACTGAATTAAAACAGTTGAAAGCACTGTTCAAGGAAGAATTAAAAAATAAACCCTGAAACGCAGAAAAAAATCCGAAATTTAAAATGAACTAAAGAGTTTCTAAATCAACATGTCTGCCTATATGTTCTATATATCTTCTTCTAGAGTTAAAAATATATATACACTGGTGAAAGCAGCATGTCTTCAGATTTTACCTCTTGCAAAAACATTAAGAAGCAGTAGTGACAGTAGAACATGCAAATAAAATGTGGAGCGACAAGTCACTGTAATTTTAAAGTACTGGCCACTGTAGCGGCCAAACCAAGGGTGACTCCATCTGATGCTGAGTGTTAAATGGCTTCTTAGCATGGTTAGTTTATTAGCTACATGTACAGTGTGATGGCATAAGATAAAAACTTCTAAATAAAGTCTTTAATGTGTTGGTTGTATTTTGACAAATCCAACCCTTAAACTCTTGGAAAATATTTTTGCCCATCTTGGATGAAAATCAAAGGCCAGCTTTCAGGTATTGTACCAGCATTTCTCCTTAGTCTTGTTTTAGCAAATAGAATACAAGCAGCCTACATCTGAATGATCTTCAATATTGTAATAAATGGATTCTCAGAGGTCAGGCTGAATAAACTGGCAAAGCAATGTAGAATAACTCACACCAGCATTTAACAGCTGAATATACAAGTCTTTTCAACTTTGCTCATTAAAAAAAGTCACTCTAAGTCAACAATGTAGAAGACTACAAATTACTAAGGAGCAACCCTTATGAAGTGTGGATTAGGAACCTATCATTAATGCACCAAGATTTCTTTGTACTACTTTGATTTAGAAAATTAAACACAAAAATAGCTTCTGTTTTTTTTCAGTACTTCAGCAATTCAGAATTGGAAATGACACAAGGCAAAACATGAAGTTCACAGATGTAGGTTTCATATTTTAATTGAAGCTTTCGTAGTTATCAATCACCATCAGAAGTGCAAGTGTCCTTAAATACACCCGTAGAATATATATTATCT